TCAAAGGATTTTATTCCCATTGTTAATTTTGTGCTAACTAAGCAGCAGCAAGAGACGAACTACCATAAAACCGCTAACGTTATCCACTTCAAATGTAGCCAAAAATGCTTGAAGGGCGTCATGTCATAGACCTCAGCTTTTAAGGCGAATGTCATGTAACTTTAACGGACAATCTTAAATACTTATCGAACAAATTTTAAAGCCATGACAGAGGATATTATTTAACCTAGTTTAACTGATCCTGAAAACTATAAGCGGCGTCAAGGTGATATCGATCGCACACTAAAACTTTGCAATAAAATCTTATCCGGATTTCACGCAGATAATAGAGCACCATTAAATAATCTTTAAAAGCACCTAGTCACTTCACTTGGTAGCTGTTAGACACTTATGAATATAAATGCAACGTTGTTTTAATTATTTTGGTAGGCTTCGTCTTTTAGCCATTTTCTGTCGTTAGTCTTTGGATGACTATGCCAAACATTTCAGTATAAGCTTATTACCAAGCATTGCTAAAACGCGACAGTTGATCAAAATCTCTGTGCGGGTCACGTTACTCCCAAAACCTTAAAACCTCCGGTAAATCAGTAGATATCTTTCAGACTTCCCCTTTTGCCGTTTAACTGATCACAGCTCTCAAATTACAAGATCATGTCTGCTTCTGTAGATCCGTTCTAGCTGCAAAAATAAAGACTATTTATCTGGCCGGCTCAGCATTTCAACTTCTCTGATCAAAGTATGCGAAAACTCACACATCTATTAGTACCGGTCTGTCGCCAACATTTCTACATATTTGTGGCTATGTAAAATGTATGTTATTTTGATAACTATTTTACAACAATTAGTGTTCAAAATGTTTGTTGAAAGTTATCAAAGCCATCAACTGATTTAGACGAAACAATAAATAAATCATCGTCTTATAACTACAGTCCTTGCACGAAAAATGTCTTTTTTGAAGACAATTTTTTTCTTAAAATAAATGATTTTGGCATATAAACAAGGGACAGTTCGTAGTTTAATTCCAATACTGAATGACAAACTTCATTTCAATCATTTGTAAATTTATCCTTACAAACATCATGCAATGACGTCATCACATATCCTTTGTCAGAGAGAACATGTTATTAAATTTAAAAAAAACCCTAAATTACCTCAGGTCACGTTTAATGGCTAAGACATTTTTTTAAGGATTATTTCATTTCCTTTGTGTAAATACCGAACCAGTTTCTCAAAGCCTACTGAAAGAATACGTGTTTTGGTCGATGACATTCAATTTGATGGGCGAGTAAACAGGCATAAATTGTCGTCCCTGAAGCAAACTAATTATTTCTATACACTATTTGTTGTGCCTACAATGCAGGTAATATCGTGTTAGCTTGGATATGCTAGTTCGATTTTAATTCACCGTGATTCACCTTACGTAAGGTTACACACAAAGGAAGGTTACGATTTGGAAGAAAAATAACTTATGAAATTGTGCAGTGGAGAAAAGGTATGGTTTAGTCTCTAGAGCAGAACTTTCTGTATTTTTTTTACATTTTCGCTATTTTGTTTTTGTTTTTTGTTTTTTGCTTTTTTTGTTTTTTCAGTTCATGAAAAGTTAACCGTTAATTCGAGAAAATAATGATCTCAAATATGTTGTAAATGTATACTTAATATCGAATCGAATTCGGATCGTGAAACCGAAAAAGTCCGTATACTTGAGCGGAAGATGTTGTCTAATGTCTTATCTAATTTGAGGAAGACTTTTTCTTGTTTTTTTTTTGTCCACGTGATCTCAGGCCAAACGATCATACACAGTATTCCTACTGGGTGTGACTAACAAGTTCATAGAAGCTTGATAAACCGTCCTGTATATGAGTGTTGCGAACTGAATTTGTTGAAAAGAAGGTTGTCGTATGATAGAGCAGTTCGTTGGCCAAAGATCATTGATGATTCCTTTTGACTGCAATATTCTAATAGAAGCTGAAACCAAACAAAGCAAAGGAGAGATATATGCTAAATATGCAGTTTTGGGACGTTTGCTTTAGAAGTGATGGAAAGAACTCTATGGCCTATTTCTAACCTGTTCCCCATTTTGTTGCGGATTGATATGGGTCGTGAAAGCCAATAACGTCTTCTTACCTTTAAACGGTATAAAAGTCTTGTATAATGCTCCGTTCTAGTGAAATCAATTACCTGATATCACAAAGCCTCTTTGTGATCGGTCTGTTTACAGCCTTCTATTTTTGCTTGTCTTTGTTCAAATAAATCAAACATCGCTTCGTTCGCAGTTCTTCGTTTGCGCTGACTAAGCTGAGAAAATAAGGTTGGACTTGAACATCTGGTTCATGATTCCCTGTGACGCACGTGCTCGAGAGAAAGCATTTTAAAAGTGAAATTAATCTATTTCATCATTTTTGGAGCGATTGTGGTTCTTTGGTGATTATTAGTACATGGGTTTGCGGTATTCAAATGTAAAACTGTATAAATAGTACGGCCGAGAAGTCAAATTTGATCAGGGCATTCAGTGTTAGCGAGTGAGTGTTAGTGCAATTTTACACTTGATTAAGGGGACAGTCATTAGCAGTTGGGTGATTGCAGCCATGAAACGGTGTCTCACTCGATGAAGGTATCAGTAAGCAATACAATATTTATATCACTGATAGAACGAAAAAAATGGGACGTTTCCGGACCGTGAATTTGATTTAGTATTTTTGGTCTTCATGAAAATACATAGACGTGTCACCGAGATCATTTACAATTTATTCCTTTTTTGTCTCAAAAATTTAAATAGACTGCAAATACCGGAATTTGGAACAAAGATTAGCTGTTGTAAATAGCCTTGGTTGACGCGTTTTTGTCAGTTAAGTCTGTATATTAATAATACTGTTTGCAAAACGTATTTTGTATTACCTATTATCACGACGAGTTGCTTTAAAATTCCCTACCGCTTCTTCTGTAGAGTAGCAATTTTATGGCTAGGAAAATTTGGCAAGTATTTTTTTGGTGGCTTGATTTAATTAGAGATTATTTTAGTTATTCAAAACAATCTGAAGATTCGAGTTGAAAAAGAAGATGTTCTTGGGTGTCTCGAGTGATGCTAAAATAACTATCAGATGCGGAAAAGACAACTTCAGATGGTACACACACTGTATGATGATTAAACAAACATAAACATTCAAATTCTAATGGATTTATTTTCGTCTAATATCCAATGCTTTATTGAAACTTTAGACGCTCGAAAATTCGACATAGGATATTTTTAGGGGGTTATCTTTTGGTCCAGGGATTTCTTTCGGGTTTAGTTGGAAGGGTTATGAGTTAAAAGAAGACAAGTAGTACTAACTACAACTGGTGTCGACATACCCTGCTCTTAAAGTTTCCGTCTGCGGTGTACTCTTAAGATATGCACTACATTTTAACCTTCAACACTCTTAAAAGCGTGGCACAGTATTATAATAAACAAAGATAAATAAAGTTCATTTTGTTACAGTAACAGTAACAGTAATCCGATGCGAGTGTGTGAAGTTTGTTATTGTAACATGCCATGAAAACAACGCTTTCTTTGACAGTTTTACTTCTCATTCAAGTTCATGGATAGAATATCTCTTCAGGAGTTGCTCTTCCTCATTGGTTGTTTCCAAACGTTCGTCACTGGGTCACCGTCTGTTGAGCGCGTCTGTAATTTCACAAACAACTTGACGACAGCAAGTTGTCACACAAAAGACCTAAAGACCAACCTACAACGTTACGTAAAAGAACCAAAGCTCCTCGTCGCATTGTAAGTCAAAAACTTTTGTTTTTATGCCTCCCGTCTTTGAGAAAGAAAGCTTATTAAATGGTTAGTTTTCAGTTTAGGGACCCCACTTGCAGATAGAACACAAAAAGATGGAGGAAGGGTGTGAAACAGGAAAGAGTGCGAGACAACGACAGCAAACATGAAACGTGTCTCATTGGGGCAGCAAAATTGCCTTAGCGTCGTTCTTTAATTTTAGCAACGATGTCTTCGCAAATCCTCTTATCTTATTCTGAAATTTTTCGCTTTGTTCCAGCGTGGAGAGTATGAATCAGAATCAGAATCGTTCATTTCAAGAAATGTGACTCGTTACATTTATAGGATTATATCGCATACGGGATTAAGTCAACAAAACTGTCGACTGTATCATTTTTCGTTCCGATTTCATTTATGGCAATTCAAGGAATCTGATCAGATTACACCGATTCTAGGATAATTAAAAAATCTAACGTTGGTGACCCTAATTTCTTTTATACGCAGAACAATCGTAGATGACAAAGCAAAAATTATCCCTGAAGAAACGTTCGCCAACTTTTCAAATTTGACATTTCTGTAAGTATCTTTGATTAAATTTTTCTATTTCGGAGCGCTGGGTTAAAATGCCCTAACATATTTACCCAACGCTTGATAGCCAGCATGTTGGATGTGATATCCAAATCTGGTCCCAGATCTCAGAACACTAGTCAAGAATGCTTAGTTGTGGCCGCAAAACAGAACAGCTGTATTTTGAAAAGGGAGTGTTGGCTGCGTTTAAGAGGAGATGCCTACTGTTCATTAGCGGGAATGCGGTTTCAAAATAATTTGGTATTTCTTTAACCTTACCAACTCTAAGAAATCTGGGGAGAAAGGAGGAGGTTACTGAGCTCCAAATGGTACCCTACTGTAGTCTTTTAAAACAAAATTCATACTTATAAAACATCTGTTGAGTCAAAAACCTGGTATAAATTTTCGTCCTAAATTCGCTTTGTATAGGATGGAGACATTTTCAGCTAAGAGCGTTAATACAATCCGCCGAAACTGTAGGCCCGAATTAGAACTCCAATGAAGCAAAGATTCGGCTTTGATGAAAACACAACGATAATTCGAGAAGCAAGAAGTTAAATTTCCATAATGTTTCCATAATGTTTTATTTCTAAGGGAGGTCAAGATTAAATGCCTGAGGAACTGGAATGGGAATTTGTCTAGCGAAGTACCTCAGCTTCAAGAAATTTCATTTTCCGTAGATGAAATTTTTATACCACCAGCTCATGTACTTGAAGTACCTACTCTTCAAAAGATTACTGGCCTGACATGGAGTGAAGCTTGTACCAATTGCACCTTGCTGAAAAATGAAAGTCATCACAACGTCACGCTTATGAAAAAAGGAACTTTTGATATATACCCTGAGTCAAGCTGTCGTGGCTCTCGATACACAGTCAGTAATGTGACAGGCATGTTTGCTAAACACGGATTCCTACCCATGTGTGTATTGGAAAATGCCAAATGCTTTGATTCTGACGTGAAAGTAACACCCTTGCATCAATGCTGGAAAAGTGCGAACAGCGTTCTTTACGTGGAGTATATCTTGGCGCCATTTATACTTACATGCAATTTCATAGTATTTACTACAACACTGACCTCAAAGACTCTCAGAAGAGTCCCGTCGATAGTTCTGGTGGCAAATTTGGCTATGAGTGATTTTCTTGTGGGTATATATACTCTTGCAATAACTTCATCACGTCATGCAATGTCTTATCAAAGGTTCTACAGCGTGATGGATTATCTTTGTCCTTTGCTGGGTTTCCTGTGGTGCTGTGGGCAGATGTCTGCTGCCCTGTCATCAGTGCTGTTGACAACAGAGCGATACATCGCAATAATTTTCTCCATGAGACCAAACGTTTCTTTTACATCAAAACCTTGCATGTGTGGTGTGCTTGTTTCCTGGATTATCACTATAATTGTCGCTTCGCTTCCGTTTCTGAGCATTGGAACATACACCAGTACAACATTTTGCCTCCCTATACAACCTAACAGAGGAGTGAGTTCCTTTGCCTACAGTGCGGGCCTTATAGCTCTTGCATTCCTCCTCTATACGATCACCTTACCAATGTACGTTCATATTTTCCTTTTTGTCAAGAAATCAGGAAATCAGATTGGTATAAAGAGAGATGGAAAGTTGGCAAAAAAGATTTTAATTTTGATTATTAGCAATTTATTTTTCTTTCTTCTCCCAGTTTTTATTGGTCTATTGTGGGTATTTGCCGGGAAAAGTTTCGGTAATGTTTCTTTGTCAACGAGGGAAATTCTTGTTGGTTCATTTACGACTCTTTGCTTAAGCGTCAACTCATTTTTGAATCCCCTTCTTTATGCATTTCGAAACAGGCGATTTCAGTTTGTGATCAAACGTAGGTACTACCGTGTCGTAAACCGCAACGTAGTAGCCGTTCAAAATGTCAGCTATCATTCAGAACTGAGAACAATGAAGGTGCGTAGTGTAGACAAAGCTATGTAACAGAAAAGCGTGTGAAGAATACGTAATTTAATTTAATTTGAATTTAACTTAATCCATTTTTACTGCATACAAGTCATTATAGTCAGACACTAAGAGAGAAGAAGAACCATACGAGCTAGTCCACCCACATCAGTAAAGAAGCCTCTGCTGTTAGCAAGACAAGTACGTTGACGTCGTTGACATGAACTTGGTCCATTTACCACAACGTGAAGCTAAAATATCTATTTAGTCGGCTTCTACCTTAAAACAACAACAACAACAACAATAATAATGATAATGGTCAATTAACAGTGTATCCACCTACTGGCTCTTCACCTGTTAAAAAAAACTACAATATAAAAAATAAAAAAACTATAATATACTACAACAAAAAAAATTGAAATCTACAATATAAAAAGCAATAATATCGGACTATAAAAGGATATTGTATAAAAAATAACAATGTAATAAAGATTAGTAATAGTAATACAACCCTGTGTGCAATTTACAATCTATTTACAAATGTTATTTAATAGATAGGCATTAACTTCCCTACAGTATACTTTGAAATCGCTACAGTTTCTTATATTTGCCGGAAGAACATTAAATAACTTAGCAGCAGAGTCTTGAAATGTGCCCCTCTCCATTGGTATAATTAATCTTGTTGCTGCTCCTGACCGCAAATATCGCAGATGTTTAACTGTATCTGAATGGTAAGTAAGACGGCCAGCTGGGGGAGTACAAAGCCTGGTGAACGAGTTTGAGAACGTGGAAATTCCGTTAGCGAATCTCTTTTTTTCTAAGATATGAACCTTACTTGTAAGAAACGTTTATATCCCATGCCAAGTAAAAACGAAAATAAATATTACTTTAATGCACGGTAACAGGCAGCAACGGTGAGGACTTTATATTTATTAAAACAAGATGCCTGATACACCTGATACACTTGTGTAACCGTTTCTCAGACCGTGTTTTTGGGACGAGAGGGATTCCGTCACCTTCCCAGTTTGCTATGAAACTTGGAGGGTTTTGTTAAAAGCGTATCCTAAATTGTCTAAGCCAAGAGTCACGAGATGATGTTAATACGTGACATTAGATGGCTGTCCTCTCGTATTTCGTTAGGATAAAGAGTTCCCAACATGCGCCAAAATTAGTAAACTGATTATTTTAAAGGTTCTAAATTGTCGTGATTTATATAGACTGCGAGCAGTCTCTCATTTTTCTTGAAATCGCGCCGGCTGAGATAAGAACTAGACGAATTTTAAAAGAAAAGGCCGATTGCAAGCAGCCTATGATTTATAATACCGTCTTGGTTTACTTCATGACTGAAAAATTCTGAAACGGGGTAAAGAATAAACCGAATGACTTGAAAGGTGCTCTAAAGTCGATTTATCAATACGTCGGGGAAAAAGATATTACAAAATCAGTAGCATAATTGTTGTAAAAGACCATAAGCTTTAGTGACAATGTGCCGTTGTGATTGGTTCTCTTAAAATTGCTGTAAACAAAAGTAGCTGTGATAACTATATTATTGGTTGAAAATGTTCCTGTTTTAAATTTTGTTAGTTAAAGATCACGTGATTGCACTTTCATTGAAACACAGGAAAGACATATTAACTTGAAATAAAGTAAAAAAGAAGAAAAAGAACCTGATGGGCAATGTAATTGAGTTTTCACCAAGCACTTTAAAAGCCTCAAATGTCAATTTACTCTATGTTAGTTTCCGTATTTGTTAAGCTAAGTAAACAATATCTAACGTGCATTATAATTCCCAGGAAATAAATCGGAATATAATGAGATTCATTTTTGTCATTGGTTTTAACATATTCCGAAACATAGAAGATTGGTAAAGACTGCTTTTTCCTCTATTCATTTCTTTAAAATATTTTATGTAAGGTTAAAACAAATCTAAATTATTTTGCTATAAGCTGAACTTTTAATTGCACAGATAGGAGATCCGTTTTATTATCTAGGTAGTACAAACGGACAAACCAAGGAATATATCCATTTTAGATTCAATTATTCTATATTTCATAATTATGAAAAATTTATCAACATAACATAATCATCCTGAGGAAGAAGTTCAGTATTGTTTACCCGTCATATAAAGTAAGAAGTAATATAACTTCCTACTGTCACAAGATTTCCTGGTAAATAAAAAACATATTCACATAGAGACAACTCAATCGACAAACTGTAACGTTTCTTTAAATTAATTCTATTAATAAACATTTCATATGCTTTGTCTAGGGTTAGAACATATTGGCACAATTTATGGGTGCAAAAGCATTAATTCGTTGAACTACCATTCTCCCAGGTTAGAAAGGACAACTTTTTCAATTAATGCTTTAACTTCATTCTTCCTTTTCGTAAAGTTGACTTCAGGAGTCATTTCTTACTTTGTATGTATTACAAATATCAATCAGCGTTTTAACCAATCCGTCATTTATCTCCCACTGGCTGTTTTCATTAATATTGTCTGTGTGTTTTAAGTCGATCTAACCGTTTTTTAGTTTACATATGTCTTTATTATACCTTATTTTAATTAACAGAAACTTCAGTATATGAAAGCAAAAGGTATATTGGCGGCCGCTTTTAGCCGTCACTTCAGTTCCAATGAGAAGTCAAAATATCGGATGTTATTAGAGGCTGAAACAAATCTGATTCAAATTTATTTTCTTTATCGAAACTTCCTCATACCTAACCTCACGAAACGTGTTCTGTATTAGAAAAAAATAATTTTAAATTTCTCTTCACAAGATTGATTCTGAACATCCAAGAACAAGCGGGAAAAAAGCATGGCTAACAACACATCAACTCAATATCAAATCTTCTCATCTTCTTCTTGCTTTCATCTTCCGGATCCTTCATTCCAACAAGTTTCAGAACGATTTCTCATGAATCTTTTGACAGCCATCATCAATATTATTTCCTCTCCCTTTGCTGTCGTTTCAAACCTTTTTATTGCTGTTGCTGTTTTCTATAATAACCGACTTCGAACACCGTCAAATCTTCTGATAGGTTGCTTGGCGCTCTCAGATGTCTTGGTTGGCCTTGCAGTTCAACCAGGTTGTATCACCTACAGACTCATGGAAAACCAACATCGAACAGTTCCTTGTTTTGTTCGTATTGTGTACTGCAATGCATTCTATATTTGTTGTGGAGTGTCTTTTATGACCCTCGCGGCTGTTAGCTATGAGCGGTTTGTGGCGGTCCGACTTCAAGCAACGTACAATGGTGTGTTCTCTCCAAGACGAGTTATGAAGTACATGGCGGCTATCTGGTTGCTGAATCTCCTACTAACAAGTTTGCAATGGGCAGGTATAAACCAAGTTATCAGGGGCGTGCATTTGATCGTATGGTTTTTGTGTCTTTTGGTCTCCGGAATTGCACACTTCAGAATTCTGATAGTTTTGAATCGACATCGTCGTCAAGTATCCTCGAAAAATCAACTAGCCATTGAGCAGGTCCGCAGACGAAGAGAAGAGAAACTTAGCAGAAGCATCTCATTCATCGTCGGAGTTTACTTTCTCCTTAATTTGCCTGTTTTATTTGTAACAGTATATCACCAGATTTTAGAACAGGACATTATAACTTATAACCACTATAGTTGGTCGGAAACCCTTGCTTTTCTCAACTCTTGTACAAATCCACTTCTTTGCTTGTGGAAGAACAGACAAATTCGTCAAGGGGTTATGTCTCTAATGGGTACTCGCCGTATTCTTTCTCGTAAGTAGAACAAGATTTTAAAAAAGCCGTTGCAGTTCACTGTTGAAAAACATCGACATTTCGTAGATGTTCCTGTTTATAAGTAGTAAGTCCCGTTCCCTTAGCCATAACTAAAATACAACTAAACTTATTTATTTTTAATGCAAGGCAGCTGGTTTCTTGTCTCAACATTCTATTTGTTGCCATTAAAGAGTACGTGTCATAGAAAATGTAACATGTGACCCGATTGGCAGATAGGATTCCTGGTTATCCCTTTCAATTGGCCTAAATGGTGTTCATGGCAACTTGCACTGCAGTTACACAAATACATTGGCAACTGAAGAACACAGTGTAAGGGTCTACTGTCCTCCGCAATACGGTTATTCAAATAAAAGAAACTTTTACAGTTCATAACCTAGCCTGCTCCACAGGCAGAACTTAACTTCTGGTTAAGTCCCTCTGCGAAACAGCCCGGAAATAGTTGTTATGGGCCCTGACTTGTGTGTACGCCCTGTGATTGCTCTGTTAAAAACGTCGTCGTCAATTTACCAATCAGGTTGAAGGAAAATTCAAAACGCACTTCCGGTACTGAATTCGTTGAGTCCGTTGGGAGCCCAGAACAAGGATATCAGCCTGACTGCTCATGAGCAGACGTTACTATGGTAACCTGGGTTAGATTCACTTCTGAATAACCGCATAAGAGAAAGTGCTCTTGGTAACTGGCGCTAAATCTAACTGCAACGAGACACAATGGGCGTAAATATATATTAGGCAGTTGAAAACTGGCGAGAATTTTTAACGTCATTTGTGATTCATTTCACTGAAAACTTGAAACTGTAACAGTGGTATCTTGATATGGCCTAATTTGGTATTCTTGCGTTTAAAAAAACTTTGTATTTCATTTTAAAATAAGTTCTGACCGGTTGAAGTTTTTTGGTTGACAAGTGCTGCTTCAGGCAGTAAAACACAAACCAGCTAGGTCTCACAAGTATGTAAAGTCAGAACTAGAACTAAAAACATGGCGGGTCCTACACATGTCATATATAGTCTCCAGGCCCTTACGGCTCCAACCAGCTCGCGGGCTCATAGCAATATTAAATCAACATTTTTACTAATTGTTTAGGATAAATATGTCTTCTGTCTTCGGCGGATATTTGGTTAAATTTTTACCTTTTTATTAAATTGCAAAGTGGGAGAACCATTTTTATATGAAATTTTGTGTTTGTTAGTATTCTTCACATGAAATACGTTCATCCTAATCAGTATTCCATTGTTGCAGTTATTTATATATTACCAGTGAGGCTAAATTCAAAGCCCTCATCTGACTTTTTAGTTTGCTGAGTTTTACCAGGTATAAAGGTCCTAACACGTGAATAAAGTCGCGCAGTCAAATGAACAATATACCTACTACATATTAATGAGTTTTTGAACTGTTTGAAGTGTAGCGGATGCGACTGTTATGTGGTGAGGTTTAAGTGAACTTTCTAAGGGTTCCATGTAAAATTCAGACAACTGTTCCGAGGGGAATAACTTGGTGTCATGGCGAATATGAAAATGAATACTGAATATCTGTTGATGTCATTAGAAGTACTGAAATAACAGCCACCTGGCTATCAATTAATAAATGAATAATTGTATTCATTAATTACTCAACGGTACCCGGATTTTACAAAGTTAATTGGACACAATGAAGCTGTCAATAATCAGGGAATACACCTGCTGAAGTTTTGCTGTCTTTTTCTGTACATGATTTCTTTCATATTTACTGAAATCACGTCTTTGAGTTTAATTTTTGAACGATCTGTGTGCTAAGTGCAATATATACTAGCGATTACAACAGATTTTTTTAAACTCTGTCTCGATCCCTTTACGAATTCGTCGATTTTTCCAACAGCAGATTAAAGGATTCGTGCAAGAGTTTAAAAAAGCCAGTGTTTCTGACCAGCTGTAGTGGTTGTAAGTCTTTATGTCTTGCTGTAAAATCTGGTGGTAGATTTTTGCGAACAAAAATGGTGTGTTAAAAAGGAAATAAATTCCAACAACGACCGAGATGTTTTTTGTAAGTTTGACTTGCCTATGCCTACGCACAAGTTCAGTAAAAAGTTGATGGCTTTGCACTTGGCAGCGGTGTCGACGCAAAACAAAAACAATCCCAATGTTTGCTGCCCCGGAAACCAGAACACAGAAAAACCACAAAATCAACTGAATGCCCTTCCATATTTTGCTTATTCCTGCCCATTGTAGATTGGTCAACAAAGTATTCAGAGTCCAAATAGCCACCACATATTTAAGGACTCGTCCTGACGAGAAAACATCGTTGTACCTTGTCTGCAATCGCACAGCCACAAATCGCTCATAGCTGACAGCGGTCAGTGTCATAAAAGACACCCCACAACAAATATAGAAAGAATTGGAGTATAAAATTCGAAGAAAGCATGGAACTGACCTATGCTGGTTTTCCATGAGTCTGTAGGTAATATAACCTGGTTGAACTGCAAGGCCAACCAAGATATCTGAGAGCGCCAAACAACCTATGAGAAGATTTGACGGTGTTCGAAGTCGGACATTGGTAAATATGACGACTGCTATAAATGAGTTGGAGATCACAGCGAGAGGAGAGGTAATGATATTGATGACAGCAGTTACGAGATTCATAGTAAAACGTTCGGAAACGTTTTGGAAAGAAGGATCGCGCAGATGGAAACAAGATGAAGGCGGTGGTAAGACTGTAGTCGAAGAATTGTTCGCCGCCATAATGATGATGATGATCAGTAGGCCGTCGACTATATTGTGTTCAAAAACGTTAGTCCACGATATTTGGCCAGGTCATTTGTTTTAATACGTTTAATCTATTTTCTTGGTTTTTGTTGACGTGAAATCCAATTTAAAAATATACACCTGCCACTCTTACTTGAAAAAAAAAATCCTTAACAGCCTATCCTCGAGTTATGTAATAAACTGAGATCACTAGACTGAATGATTCGAGAAAGCTCCTGACCCGGAAAGCTCTCTTTTTAATAAAGTAACGTTAGATAATTCTGGAAAGATTTTCTTTGGATGCTATGTTATAGGTTTTTACACCACATTGTGTTTTGTTGCATCATGCAATCAGCTTTAACAAACATTTTTCATTTATTATTCTCAGTCAGGGTGATGCAATCAAATTGCAAATTTTGTGGAACGCAGCCACAACACATGAAAAGTGGATTTCTTTTCTGAAACATTTTCCGACGCAAAGTTTAAATGGTTGAACCTACATTGAAAAAGAACAACATGAAACGTGTAGAAGCTTAAATTTAAGTTTCGTTCCGTAAAATAATAAAAGCATTGTCGCAGCATATCCTGTTTCGTAGATTTAGAATTTAGAGTTTTTTATGTACATGTTTCTATAGTCAGCTAAGTAACACGTTTTCGATCCGAGAAAGAAAAGAAATAAACTTAAACATTAACAGTTAAATTCAAGCGTGATGTTCAGATAACCTTGAGAAATGAAAGCAAATATGAAATTTATCATTTTTTTTCCCAAAACGCACTAAGAAAACAGGAGTGACATTTACAATTAGTGTGGAGTAGTGATATTGACACAGAAACTGAGATTAATGTCACGGTATCATTGTTCAGGTTCTTGATTTCCATTATATACTTGTAAGAAAAGACCACATATAACCTACGACCAGGCGTCTTTTTTTGTTGTTGTTGTTTTCGACATAATAGAGGTAGATTGTATATCATACAGTCATGGAGGGCATGATCACAGGCTAAACTACGATAATGCTTGGAACATACAATCCTTTGCTACAAATATTAAATTAATTAATGATTTTTTTTCGTGCACCTTTTAATCCTGAGGGTATAGTGTTGTGTTCAAACCAGGCAAGAATTGTTAGTATATTTAACAATTATTCCACGAGTGTGCGTTGGAAATGAGATGGTCAATAGCCAACGAGGCGCATAGCGCCGAATTGGCTATAATCATCTCATATCCAACAAGCGCGAGTGGAATAATTGTTCCACAAAATATCGAGAATTTTTCCCGACTTTATTTGTAAAAACAACCGATTTTCAGCTTGTTTTAATTTTTAGCGGACACGTACAGTTACCACATTTGGAGAGTATGGTAGAATGGCTCATGTAATTTTTCCCCATATAAATGACGCACTGAAATTCGCTGACCTATACTGTCTACTGGCTGTATTTATTAGCAAAGCAGACAGCGATGGTGGACTAATCGTTAATTAACTGTATAATACATCAATCCGTGATATACCTTGGTAACTAAGTCTGCGACACTGAAACGACTCGTTTAGGGTGTTGCCATTTTACCCAACGAGGCGTTAGAGAGCAAATCAATCCTAGACTATCCATTGAATGTTATACCTTCAATTCGACGACATTGTGCGTGTGAAAGATTAGGAAAACTCTTTCTCTATGTCTGCAGTAAATATAAAATAGACCAACTCTGTTGGCAAAGAAAATTTACATGCTTCTATCTGCTAAAATAAAATAAAAAGGGTTGTGCTACTTGACTGTGTTCTTCATACTTTGATAATAGAATGAAAAATTAAGACAATTAATCTTTAGAATTTCACTTGGCTTTAGTTGTATACTTTAGGAAGAGAAAGCGAAGACAAGCAACAAAAAAATTCAATACGGCTTTTATACAATGATTAGTTGTAGCAACATATTGTTTTAAGCATTGTCAGTACTCCTTGCCTAACTTGTCGGTTTTTCCAAAAGCAGATCATTGGATTTGTGCACGAGTTCAAAAAAGCAAGAGTTTCCGTCCAGCTAAAGTGGTTATAAGTTTTTATGTCCTGCTGTAGAATTTGATGATACATCTTCGCTAATAGAACAGGCGTGTTTAAAAGAAAATAGACTCCAACAATTAACAAAATTCTTCTCGAAATTCTGGCTTCTCTCTGTTTTCGGATGTTTTCGTTAATAGTTTGTTGTGGTTGCATCTGAAGACGGTGTCTCCGCAACACCCAAACGATTCCAACGTGTGTTTTTCCAGAAACCAAAAGACAGAAAAACCACACCATCAAATGCACAGCCTTCGATATTTTGGTTACACCCACCCATTGAAGAGTTGTTAACAAAATATTCAGTACCCAGATAATAGCCACATACTTAAGAACGCGTTTTGATGAGAAAAGGTTATTGTACCTTGCCAGTAAACGAACAGCAACAAATCGCTCATAGCTGACGGCCGTCAATGTCATAAAAGAAACCCCACAACAAATATAGAACGCATTGGCGTATATAAGTCGAACAAAGCAAGGAGCTGACCGATGCTGGTTTTCCATGAGTCTGTAGGTGATATAACCTGGTTGAACTGCAAGGCCAACCAAGATATCTGAGAGAGCCAAACAACATATCAGAATGTTTGATGGCGTTCGGAGTCGGGCATTGTTGAAGATGGCGACGGTGATTAACACGTTTGAAATCACAGCGAAAGGAGAGGCAATGATATTGATGATAGCTGTTACGAGATTCATAAGAAAACGTTCGGAAACTTTATCAAATATAGGATCAAGAAGGTGAAAACATGACGATGGTGTTGTCGAGACTCCAGTTGACGTGTTTTCAGCCATTGCATACACTCTCGTCTGATGACAAGGAATCCGTGAGCGATTTAAAGCAAAGATGTTCTTGGAAAGATGGCAAAATTCCACATGAAAAAGTTATATGACAGTGAAAATGATACAAAATAATATAAATGTCAACAATATGAATACGATCACCTGTAGAAAAAATGAAATAGTTTAGAAATAAAACTGACTCTTATGACCGTAAACCGCTTTACCACAAAAGAAAATCGGTACTGAATAGCGGTGACAAAAAAGTTTCGGCATTGAAACTTAAAATATAGCAAACTATATGTTCAAGAGGCATTTGCAGTTGGTAGAATGAAACGCTTAACGTCCTTTTGTTCCTTTCGTGTAGATTGACCCAAACGCAAATATAGGATAAAATCTTTAATTGTATTATTGCATTATTGAAAGCACTCTACCGATAGGGCAGTTTAAACGCCATCAAAATTAAAGTTTCGACGGGCTTAAATTTAACAAAAAGCAGCTTTAATGTACAGAAAATTTCTGCAGATGTTTCCTTTAGTTGTTTCTTTGATACATCAAGTATGCAAAATGGCCTATTGACTTAGTCTGACAGACAATCACTGCTATTTCTCATAAAGGTGGTTGTAAAAAATATAATCTCGTATAGCGCTTGTCAATGTAATGATATCCATTTTGGGACGGTTTTTGGTTAGTGTTTACTTTACTTGATTGTAGCGTAGTATGCCTTTGCCATGTCTACAGTGTCTGCACTGGTATCGGATATAGCTTACTATGTCGACAAAAAAAAAACTCCGACCCGATATGAACACCTGATCACACTAACTCAAAGAATGGCATATAAACCTATCACATTAGAGCTATTTGGTATAGTGAAATAACAGCCATTCTCTTGATCGTTCTAACAACTAGTCCCCGATCCCGCGATCTTTTTTACCAGCGCCATGCGCATGCTCTATAGTGCTGGATTTTTAAGTTTGACTTTAAAGCCAAGAATCCCTTTTTTTCTGATTACCGATGCAACTGTCGGTATCATTTTCGCTTTTACCTGTAACATTTACTTTCAATAAAAAGTTGTTTGCAATGCAGTCGCCATCTTGGAAACGACAACATGAAGCTCTCGGAACGTCAAGGAGAAAGGTTTCTCTTTGTTTCTGTGAGATGAATATATTTCTTACATTGTCTGCAACGCATTTCAATGCTAAAGCATTAAACTTAAACAAAACTATAGAGTCCTCCAAACTTTGAGCAAAATACAAAGACAATCCCTTTTCTGAAGTAGGGCATCCTTTAAAGGCAAATGATATCCAGGTCTCTGTTGATAAGGGGAACCAGAAGGCTGGAAAATTCTGAGAAAACAAAATTACAATTAGGCAACAACAACAACAACAGCAACAATTTATTTCACCCAAAGGAAAATATTAAAGTTATTTACAAGTTATTAGATTAATTCATTAAATAAATAAAAGGGTACTGACTTACTGGAATAACTAAAAAAGGTAACTTGCGATATGTCTTTTTATCTTAGGAGGAATAAAGATTGGTTGATTGATTGATTGATTGATTGATTGATTGACTGATTGATTGATTGGAAGCCAGATTCAGTTAGAAATGCTTAGCAGAAGTTCAACTAACAGGAAAGGTTATTGGACAAATTTGTATTTTTTTAGCTTGTTATTTAGGAAAATAGTTTATCAAGCACATACGAGTTTAACTGAGACTCAAGTCTAAGTTCAGGCGCGGATCCACACCGGTTTTCACCGTTTTACGGAAATCGGTCAGATTTTTCACAACAGATATGTTAAAGAAAAAACTTTGCAAGTTGCAAGGCTTCATTCGAGGAGAATGGAACTGGCTAATATCCTTTCTGAAAGACTCAGTTCTAAACCCAGGAAGGGGGACTTTAGGAAGTTGAAAACGAAAAAATTTCTCACAGGGGACATTCCCCGCGCCCCCTAGAAGCTTGGGCCTTCGGCACTCGTTTATGAGGGAACCCAGAAATTACATAAAGTTATGAATATTACAACTAGTACAACTTTTGTCCATGATTGTACATTAACTTTAAGTTAACTAAATGTTGAAAGATGTGCTGCAGACATACATTTACTAACCGTCAAAATATATATGTCGATTGTCTTGAAGATTTGCTTCTGCGAAAATATTTTCTATTTCTTCTTTTGGAATGTCCTTCAGTCTCATGAAAGCTCTTTTCATTTCTTTCACCTCAACATAACCTTTATTTTCAGGATCAAATACTCTGAATGCCATGATCAGATCGCTTTTATCACTTGGCTTTTTGAATTCCTCCGTCGTTTTAATGAAATCTGCCAGCTTTAGTGAAGTATTGCCTGTCAAGGGAAATCACAAAGGGATTCAGATTCCAAAAACATAGTTCTAACAAGCTAAAGGAATGTTTTTATTACACTCTGATTTAATAAGTCCTGCAAAGCTGGTGACAAGATGCAAAACCTCTTTTTTCTGTCTCTTTGCTCTTAAACCGATATGCAAAGTGTTAAGTATACAGGTAAAGAGAATTCATTTATCAGTCACTTACCATCGTACTCCTTCTCGTTAATAATTTGCTGTATTTGGTGGTCCGTAGGATTGAGACCGATCATGCGCATTGCCTGCCTTAGTTGCTTTGTTGATATGCAGCCATTCTTATTTTGTCCAAAGAATTCAAAGACCTCAATGTATTCTAAATTAATAAACAAAATAGTTAGAGTTTCAAATTAAATGAATTTGACAATGACTATAGCCTCCCTTAGAAAGACTAATGTTTCGTCGTCTACTAGGTACAACTAAAGCCAGGCTTATCATCTTTCTTACCCGGGGATTTCGAAGATTCCCAGTAGTTGTTAAATTTTTATGTTCAAAGTAACATTGATGTTTCGGAGCACCGACTTTTCTCATTAACTTAACTAATTTTTTTGCGTACATACAATGGACTGTTCGATTGACTTTTTTAAACATAAATTTAGGAGGGTCTACAATTCACGCTTAACAAAACGTCAAAAGAATGCGAATATTCAAAATCATCGCGAGACCATGCTTACCCTCTATTTCTTCTCGAGATAGTTTTTCCTAAGTAACAAAACAAAAAACATATTCATAAACAATACCCTATTTTAACTTTTAACAAAGTACACATTGAGAGGCATTTTATAAAAATTATTCATTTTTGATAATCTTTTGATGAATCTTGTAGAGAAGGAACACGCATCAACTGCAGCGAAAATCTTGACAAAACTCTGTTTTGTCGTAAGAGGGAAAACGTTTGAGTCTTGTATGGAAAAAAAGGACTCTTTAAAGCTGAAACATTAACATATACATGAAAACCAACATCTGCAATCTGTTCCAACAGGATGAGTTCAAATTTGGGAATAAAATCTAGATGTGATTTATGATCGGAATTTTATTCATCGTTACATTTTAAAAACTTTAAGAATATCGCAAAATACTTACCATGAACGTATCCTACAGGGGATCTAGCCCTTAACAATACTCCGAAAATTTAAAGGCTTCAGCTTACAGAAATTGATTGCAACGTGTTTGTCCTTTACCTGAGAACTTACTTAAGGTTGTGCCAATAAGGGAAAGAGGAATACCCACGGATACATTTTGCAAGTGTATTTTGATGAAAAATGAATGATGTTATAATACTGAGTAGGATTATTTTAATGAAACTTGGTATTGGTAGTTTTCTTCCTGTATAATGACTGAGTTTCATAATAAATGTTATTTAGCCAGGGTTACCTCTTCAGCATAAAATGCTGATATCAAAGGGGGCCTTGTAAAATATATATATAAACACATGCAAATAAATGTGTTTAAATTAGTCCGACTCCAGAAATCTGTATTATATATACACATGTATATATATATATATATATATATAACAAACCTAATTTAAAGTAACTAAAATGCATTAAAAGTTAAAAATACAACAATATTTAAAATTACTTTAAAAAGCTAAAATACAACACTTAAAATACACTTAAAAGCTAAACTGATTAAAACTTAACAAGCAACTAAAAAGCTTTTGATAGGAGTTTTTAAAATCGCAACTGACTTAAAATCCTTCATTTCACTTAAAACTCTCTTCTAGGTTTATCAATTTTGGTGTTAAAAAAGGAAAATAAACTTTATGGGAAATTGTTGTGGTTACCTTACCAGCCACTCCTAACACATGATCAATACATAGCCATAAAATTAATAGTATGAAATGAATAATTAATGCTGTTAGTCAAGTTATTTTCGACAAAATTTAGTAAACTCCATTCCATTCAATATCAGTGCACAGTTGTTTGGAAAACAGATAATCTATCCAACTGGGAATGAGGAATGGTAAATACATATAATCAGTTTTTTATCGTATCGCTTGCGCATGTGCACTATTCAAGACGTTGGCCTTAGTTCAAGTATTGGTTCATTAGCCAATCACGTTAAAGAAAACAAACGCGCTTTCAGTTTTCATTTTAAAGTCGTACTATTAGTAGTGGTAACTCTGCCTGAGTGGTCGGGAATAAATCGAAACGTTAACCTATTATCTACTGAAATCGTTTCCCAATGGTAAGTACAGATTTTAAAGAGCTCCTTTAACCTGTCTGTTAAATTTTACATATACGAATATAACTAAAACGCAGATTAACAAAAGGGTCAGCCAGTATTTTGTAACGTTCTCTCTACACTCTTTGGAAGTCGGGAAGAATGTCTGAAGAAGTATAGTTACGAACACAAACACGAAATAATCTACTAATGTTAATTTGTGTAGACAAGTTTTATTTAATACTCACTACAGGAAAAGGATGTCTAGTATAATACAGTTTCAATTTTGACACATAAAAAAGTCATCATTTGAAACCATTAACTTTCTTGACTGTATGTCATTTCAAACATATTTCGCTTTAAGATTTCTTTTTACGCTTCGTTATTGCTCCTCGCCGTTTAGTAATCATTAAATAATTCTAATTCTCTCTTTCATTTTCAACGTTGGCGTAGTTTATATATAAACAAAAGCCCGCCACCTGCTAAAAGCTTAGCAAGTCTTCAGATTTGTGCTATCATTCACGAACTTCTAAAGACACAACCAAGCGCACAATTAATTCATATTAAAATGCCCTGAGATTAAAGTTTTGAAACGTATTTTTTGCGGTGATAATTTATTTAATGATTGAAAGTTCTCATGGCAATCTCCCAGATGAAACTGAGATGTAACCACGAAGTCACTCGGCATTTTACCTGCTCATAATCACTCAAACGATTTTTAATAATTGATTACCTTAGCAGGTCCTTAAATTGAAGTTTATATTACTCTGGAATATAAACACCTCTGAACGATTAACGACAGTTGAACAGGAATTCTAAACCTGAAGCTATGCTATGGCAGAAGTACTTGTTCTGTAGATTCTCGGGGAAAAAATTCCGCAAAAAAGATATATGAGGGGTGTCCACTGGAGGGAAAGTGACGATTTTATGTGTAACTGACTTTGTGACATTGAAATCGTGAAATGCATCGGCGAGTAAAATGTTAGAAGTGGAATACCGCATTTTATTTTTTCGTAGCGTCATTCGCTCTTTTTCAATTCTCTGTTAAAATATTTTTAATATATATATATATATATATATCATTGTCATGTGAATTTTGTAAAATTTCTGTGGCATTGTAATTTAATACAGCGACTGAAGTGAGTGAGACGGTAATTGAGAAAAAAGAAACATCTAAAGGATAGGTGGTACAACACAGGAAAGTTCAACCTAAGACTTAAAGGCAAGTCAGAAATAAGGCGTTGCCACAGGCAACGCAACTGTGAAGAAAGTATAGAATTGAGATTAAGGGAAACTGCCTGCTGTGCTTATATCAAACTTATAAGTCATTCTTACCCTTGGTTGTATAATCAGACTTTTGCAAAACTTTTTGTGAATAAGTAAACAACTTCAGGTTCATTTTTGACTTTTATTCATATATTCATTTACGTTTATTATTACTATTATTATTATTATTATTATTATTGTTATTATTATTGTTATTATTTTGTTTTTCGAATTTCAACAAATCATAAAACACCTAGGAAACTTCTCATTACAAGTGTTCCTATTAAATTTTTCTTCAACTCAAGGTTTCCCTGAGGGGACGAAAGACTAAGAGAGAATTTTCTTGCAATAAACGGCTATTAAGATATTTGGAAGATTTCCATTACAAACGAACAGTTGTCATTTTTAAAATGTATCTGGCAGTTTTCTGCCCCTGAACGCCGATGGTCAGAATTGTAAATAGTTTCTTTTTTTATTATTTTTGCTACAGGAGAGGCTATCTGATGAGCAAATTGAAGGTTAGTTTGTATAATGAAAAGTTTGTAAATCACGAGCCGAAGGCTAGTGATTTTACAAGATTTTCGAGTGTTCTATCAACGTCCCAAGTGAGTTATCAGGCCGGTAAACCCATCGAAAGTGTGGTCTATTGCTTTTATAAAATAACTTTAGTTTTTTATGAGTTTACCGGCACAATAAACCATAGGTTTTCAACCAATCAGAACGCGCGTACTTTCTCAGTTAAGTTTAATTATAAAATCTCATATCCAACATGCGCGAGTGGAATAATTGTTTTATTAAAAACGCCCGCAAAATATCAAGAATTCTTCCCGACCTTATCGGTAAAAACAAATCGATTTTCAGCTTGTTTTTAATTTTGAGCACAGGCGTACAGAGAGATTTTACTTAACCCGTGAAACACAAGTAGGTAGTAGAATAGTACGCGTAACTATGCACTAATTCCATTGTCTTCTTTTGTTTACTAGTAGCTAATTTGCACCAGTCGTTATTCTCTGTTTCACGGGTCAAGTAAAATCGCTCTACCATATTTGGAGAGCAAGGTATAATGGCTCATATGCCGTGATGGCTAAGCCATTCACAGCGCTAGAATTGCATGATCCAGTGATTTAGTTTTTAATAATTTATAGTATACAATATAATATAATATCATATCATATCATATCATATCATATCATATCATATCATATCATATCATATCATATCATATCATATCATATCATATCATATCATATAGTATAATATAATGTCTTACGTAATATCTTGCTAAATTGACTAATACAATGTAAATTTCACAAGAACCTGGAAAAATAAAAGACGGTCAATCAACAGCGTTTATTTATTTTTCTTTCAGAATATCGTGCTGCTTTCTACTTGTTCGATCGCGATAGCAATGGGTTCATTACAACAAAGGAGCTGGGCTCCATTATGAGGACGTTAGGTTTTAACCCTAACGAAGAAGACCTACAACAGATGATTTTCACGGTCGATTACGATGGTAGGTATAATATCTTCGATTACTTGACAGGAAGTGAATAAACACTCCTGTTACAGTCTGTGCATACGTACAATCTGTTGATACCTTAGAGTAAGTTTGAGGTACGATACACATACGGCATTTTGTAGATATAAAAACCTTGAAAAAGCTCCTTGTCTAATCACAGGAGACGGAAAACTAAATTTTGAAGAATACATCAATCTGATGGAGCAACAGAAGACGCCTGACGAAAGAGAAGAAGACATTATACAAGCTTTTCGAGTTTTTGACTCCGATAACAAAGGATACATAGAATCAGCTGATTTGAGAGAATTGTTGGAAAATATGGATTGGAAAGTTCGTGAAGAGGATTTGAAAGATTTGATAACAAGGGCTAACCTAGACCGAGACAGAAGAGTCAGCTTTGAAGGTAGGGTGAAAAGCGGAGAATGGCTGTTATCATTAGAAAAGGTTATTGAGCTCATTACAGCTTGCACGAAATTTGACATACTTGTTGTGCACTAAATTAAATATTTTGGTAATGTTATACAGATAACTATTTTTTGGAATATTTGAGAATTGTGTGGACGTTGTGAGGCCCGAGATAAGCATAAGCAAGTCTTGCATATATTGACTCGGTTTTTACATCGAAACGTAAAGCGGTATGACCTTGCTCGGTTAATTTTCAGGCTGCATCCCTTTGTTAGTGTAACGTGTCTGTAATACCTTTTGTACCCATTTTGAAGATTCTGTCTGGTAAAGGGTCCCACCTATGAAGTCACATAAGTTATGGTGAATGGTCTCGATATAGAATTATACTATGGACTACAAAGTAATGACTACTTTTCATGGTAACCCTTATCATTAAATCTGCAAGTGTAATGGTAGTTGAAGTTAGACTCATCTCTAAACTGCTTTTCTTTTATAGAGTTTGCAATGCTTGTGGATCCAGAAGGGCTGCCACCACCTCAGGATGATGATAATAACAATGAAGGAGATGATTTATAAAGTACATCAGTGAGAAGATATAAATATGCATGATATCGTCTTCAGTAACGTTACCTTGCTCATTAAATGATTCATTATCTTTGTTATCACAAAAGTTTTGTAGACATCAGGTCATATAACAATATATCGAGAGAAAAAGCAGAAAGATTTACTACTTGATTTCATATTAATGTAAATACTTCGGCCTGGAATAACCAAGAGCAATTTTATAGAAAACATTGTAAATATATTTTTACTTTTTCTTGGGCAAAGAAGAGACAAGTTCACAGCTAGTGGAACATTTTTCAACGAAAAAATTTAGCAAATAATTGATCATAATTTCGATCAGTTTCATTCAGGCTAAAACGTATAGCTGAATTAACTAACTCGTAACTTGGCAAAAATATCTAAGCCAGTGCAATTTTCTCTGCTGAGTTCAAAGGCCATTACCTATCTGCATGACAATATTTTGGCCATTGTTCAGTTTTTAGGAAAATTCCAGTTAATGTTAAATATTGGACAGGTACATTGCCGGTCGACATACCGATAATAACACACTGTATGAAAAAGCGCTGAACTCATAGTAAATTTAAATATGGTCCAGGGAATTCAACTCACTGCAAATTCAGTTGTTTCTTAGAACCATTTCAAGCCGTAATTTTTACATCCGTTAAGTCTTCTTTCGTACAAAGAAGAACATTTAAAATATACAGCTCAGTCACTCGACCCAAGTTGAATAGAAATTGTCTAAGCCTGTGCTTTACCTGACACAAGGCAAAAACAACTAATTACTAAAATTTAATTATGTTTTAAGAGGTGAATTGTAAATCTCTAGTTAAAATGACTAAAAATCATTTTGCTTTCATTCCTATCGTTAATCTTCAATTCAAGTGAGAACATCTGATGTAGAATTCCAATATGCACTTTTAATGACTTTTTTAGGCGCTCAAAAATCTTATTATATGTCATTTCTTTAATAATAATAATAATAATAAAACACTTTATTTAAAGAGGGAAGCATGGAATAGCATGGAATAGTTACAAAAACTAGTAAACTTTTAGCAAGACTATTTCTAGGTTTATTTTGTCGAAAAAAAAAAAAAAAAATTTTGTATGTTTGACAAAAAATATGGGTTATCCCCTGACGCAAATCCCCAAAATAGCGACTTTTCACAATCGATATCTCCATAGTCTAAAAAGCCTTTCTATTAAACTAGAACATCACCAAAAACTATTTCTAAGTTTATTTTTTCGAAAAATAAATAAAGAAAAAATTGCATATTTTTGAAAAAAAAAATGGGTTAACCCCTTTACAAAAAGCCCCAAAATGGCGAATTTAAAACTCGAAATCTCTATAGTAAAAAAGGCCTTTCTATTAAACTATAATATCACCGGAAACTATTTCTATTTTCATTTTGTCGGGAAATAAAAAAAAAAGAAAAAATTTCGTATTTTTGGCAAAAATCATGGGTTAACCCCTTTACCAAAATGCCAAAAATGGCGACTTTTGAAATCGATATCTCTAAAGTTTAAAAAACCTTTTTATTAAACTAGAACATCACCAAAAACTTTTTTAAGGTTTATTTTGTAGAAAATGAAGAAAGAAAAAATTTCATATTTTTGACAAAAATCATGAGTTAACCCCTTAACAAAAATCCAAAAATGGCGACTTTTAAAAACCGATATGTCTATAGTCAATAAAGCCTTTCTATTAAACTATAATATCACCAGAAACTATTTCTATTTTCATTTTGTCGAGAAATAAGAAAATGAAAAAATCTCGCATTTTTAACAAAAGTCATGAGTTAACCCCTTTACAAAAATGCCAAAAATGGCGACTTTTAAAATCGATGACTATAATGTCAAAAAAGTCTTTCTATTCAACTAGCACATAACCAAAAGGTGTTTCTAGGTTCATATTCTCGAAAAATGAAAAAAGAAAAAATGTCGTTTTTTTGACAAAAATCATGGGTTAACCCCTTACAAAGATCTCAAAAATGGCGACTTTTGAAATCGGTATCTCTATAGTTTAGAAATCCTTTTTATTACCAAAAACTTTTTGAAGGTTTATTTTGTCGAAAAATGAAGAAAGAAAAAATTTCATATTTTTGACAAAAATCATGGGTCAACCCAGTTACAACAATACCAAAATTGGCGACTTTTAAAATCGTTATCTATAATGTCAAAAAAGCCTTTCTATTAAACTAGAACATCACGAAAAAGAGTTTCGAGGTTCATTTTTTCGAAAAGTAAAGAAAGAAAACATTTCATATTTTTGACAAAAATCATGGGTTAACCCCTTTAGAAAAATCCCCAAAGTAGCAAATTTTAAAAATCGATATCTCTATAGTCAAAAAAGGCTTTTTTCGACAAAATAAACCGATAAATACTGTTTCGTGATGTTTTAGGTTGAAAGAAAAGCTTTTTGACTATAGAAATATCGATTTTTAAAAGTGACCATTTTTGTATTTTTTTTAAGGGGGTTAACACATGATTTTTGTCAAAAATGTGAAATTTTTATTTATTTATTTTTGGTAAAAAAAAAACGAGAAAAAGTTTTTGCTGATGTTCTAGTTTAAAAGGAAAGCTTTTGAGACTATAGAGATAACGATATATAAAAGTCACTACTTTTGTGATTTGCGTAAAGGGGTTAACCCATGATTTTTGTCAAAAATATAAAAAATTTTCTTTCTTCATTTTTTGACAAAAATAGACCTTGAAAAAGTTTTTGGTGATGTTGTGGTTTAATAAAAAGTGTTTTTAGACTATAGAGATATCCTTCATTAAAAGTCGTCGTTTTTGTGGTTTTCGAAAGGGAGTTAGCCAATGGTTTTTGTCAACAAAAAGAAGAAAAAACTTCATATTGCTGACAAAAACCATGGGTTAACCCCTTCACGAAAATCACAAAAATGGCGACTTTTAATAACCGATATCTCTATAGTCATTCTTTTGACCTAGAACACAACCAAACACTATTTCAAGGCTTATTTAGTAAAAAACGAAAAAACTTTGCATTTTTTTCAAAAATCATAAATTAACCTCTTTACGGGATCCGAAAAATGGCGACTCTTGAAATCGGTATCTCTAAAGTTTAAAAATCCTTTTTTTTTAAACTAGAATTTAACCAAAAACGTTTTCTAGGTTTCATTTTGTCGCACAATGAAGAAAGAAAAAATTCCATATTTTTGACAAAAATCATGGGTTAACCCACGGTTTTGGTCCAAAAACGGCCATTTTTCCAACGTTTTTCTTTTCCGCAATTTAAGCCAGAAAAATGTCTCTTACGATATTCTAGAACAAAAAAAACGCCTTTCTAGGCTATAAAAACAAAAAGTCCAAAAAGGCAAAAAATTGACATTTTTCCAAAGGGGTTAACCCATGGTTTTGGTCCAAAAATGGCCACTTTTCCAACTTTTTTTTTAGGCAATATAGGCCAGAAAAATGTCTTTTATGATAGTCTAGAATGATAAAACGCCTTTCTAGGCTATAAAAAGAAGAAGTCCAAAAAAAAGGAAAATTGACATTTTTCCAAAGGGAATAACCCATGGTTTTGGTCCAAAAATGGCCATTTTTCCAACTTTTTCTTTTAGGCAATATAGGCCGGGAAAATGTCTTTTATGATATTCTAGAACGATAAAACGCCTTTCTAGGCTATAAAAACAAGAAGCCCAAAAAGTCGAAAAATTGACATTTTTCCAAAGGGGTTAACCCATGGTTTTGGTCCAAAAATGGCCACTTTTCCAACTTTTTTTTTAGGCAATATAGGCCAGAAAAATGTCTTTTATGATAGTCTAGAATGATAAAACGCCTTTCTAGGCTATAAAAAGAAGAAGTCCAAAAAAAAGGAAAATTGACATTTTTCCAAAGGGAATAACCCATGGTTTTGGTCCAAAAATGGCCATTTTTCCAACTTTTTCTTTTAGGCAATATAGGCCGGGAAAATGTCTTTTATGATATTCTAGAACGATAAAACGCCTTTCTAGGCTATAAAAACAAGAAGTTCAAAAAGTCGAAAAATTGACATTTTTCCAAAGGGGTTAACCCATGGTTTTGGTCCAAAAATGGCCATTTTTCCAACTTTTTTTTTTAAGGCAATATAGGCCAGGAAAATGTCTTTTATGATATTCTAGAACGAAAAAACGCCTTTCTAAGCCATAAAAACAAGAAGTTCAAAAAGTCGAAAAATTGACATTTTTCCAAAGGGGTTAACCCATGGTTTTGGTCCAAAAATGGCCATTTTTCCAACTTTTTTTTTTAAGGCAATATAGGCCAGGAAAATGTCTTTTATGATATTCTAGAACGAAAAAACGCCTTTCTAAGCCATAAAAACAAGAAGTTCAAAAAGTCGAAAAATTGACATTTTTCCAAAGGGGTTAACCCATGGTTTTGGTCCAAAAATGGCCATTTTTCCAACTTTTTTTTTTTAGGCAATATAGGCCAGGAAATGTCTTTTTTGATATTCTAGAACAATAAAACGCCTCTTTAGGCTATAAAAAGGAGAAGTCCAAAAAGTCGATAAATTGACATTTTTCCAAAGAGGTTAACCCATGGTTTTGGTCCAAAAGTGGCCATTTTTCCAACTTTTTTTTAAAGGAAATATAGGCCAGGAAAATGTCTTTTATGATATTCTAGAACGATAAAACGCCTTTCTATTCTATAAAAACAAGAAGTCCAAAAAGTCGAAAAATTGACATTTTTCCAAAGGGGTTAATCCATGGTTTTGGTCCAAAAATGGTAATTTTTCCAAATTTTTTTTTTAAGGCAATGAAGGCCAGGGAAATGTCTTTTATGATATTCTAGATCAATAAAACGCCTTTTTAGGCTATTAAAACAAGAAGTCCAAAAAGTCGAAAAATTGACATTTTTTTTCAAAGGGGTTAAAACATGGTTTTAGTCCAAAAATGGCCATTTTTTCAACTTTTTTTTTTAAAGGAATATAGGCCAGGAAAATGTCTGTTATGATATTCTAGAACGATAAAACGCCTTTCTAGGCTATAAAAACAAGAAGTCCAAAAAGGCAAAAAATTGACATTTTTCCAAAGGGGTTAACTCATGCTTTTGGTCCAAAAATGGCCATTTTTGCAACTTTTTTTTAAGGCAATATAGGCCAGGAAAATGTCTTTTAAGATATTCTAGAATGATAAAACGCCTTTCTTGCCTTTAAAAACAAGAAGTTTAAAAAGTCAAAAAACTGACATTTTTCCAAAGAGGTTAACCCCTGGTTTTGGTCCAAAAATGGCCATTTTTGCAACTTTTTCTTTTAGGCAATATAGGCCAGGAAAATGTCTTTTATGATATTCCAGAAAGATAAAACGCCTTTCTAGACTATAAAAACAAGAAGTCCAAAAAGTCGAAAAATTGACATTTTTCCAAAGGGGTTAACCTCTGGTTTAGGTCCAAAAATGGCCATTTTTCCAATTTTTTTTTTAGGCAATATAGGGCAGGAAAATGTCTTTTATGATTTTCTTGAACGATAAAACTCCTTTCTAGGCTATAAAAACAAGAAGTAAAATAAAAGTAAAAAAATTGACATTTTTCCAAAGGGGTTAACCCATGGTTGTGGTCCAAAAATGGTCACTTTTCCAACTTTTTTCTTTAGGCAATATAGGCCAGGAAAATGTCTTTTACGATATTCTAGAACGATAAAACGCCTTTCTAAACTATAAAAATAAGAAGTCCATAAAGTCCAAAAATTGACATTTTTCCAAAGGGGTTAACCCATGGTTTTGGTCCAAAAATGGCCATTTTCCAACTTTTTTTTTGTAGGCAATATAGGCCAGGAAATGTCTATTATGATATTCTAGAACGATAAAACGCCTTTCTTTTCTATAAAAACAAAAAGTTCAAAAAGTCGAAAAATTGACATTTTTCAAAAGGGGTTAACCCCTGGTTTTGGTCCAAAGATGGCCATTTTTCCAACTTTTTTTTTGTAGGCAATATAGGCCAGGAAATGTCTATTATGATATTCTAGAACGATAAAACGCCTTTCTTTTCTATAAAAACAAAAAGTTCAAAAAGTCGCAAAATTGACATTTTTCAAAAGGGGTTAACCCCTGGTTTTGGTCCAAAAATGGCCATTTTTCCAATCTTTTTTTTTTAGGCAATATAGGCCAGGAAAATGTCTTTTATGATATTCTAGAACGATAAAACGGCTTTCTAGGCTATAAAAACAAGAAGTCCAAAAAGTCGAAATATTGACATTTTTCCAAAGGGGTTAACCCATGGTTTTGGTCCAAAAATGGGGACTTTTCCAACTTTCTTTGTTAGGCAATATAGGCAAGGAAAATGATTCAGATTTGTGCTATCATTCACGAACTTCTAAAGACACAACCAAGCGCACAATTAATTCATATTAAAATGCCCTGAGATTAAAGTTTTGAAACGTATTTTTTGCGGTGATAATTTATTTAATGATTGAAAATTCTCATGGCAATCTCCCAGATGAAATTGAGATGTAACCACGAAGTCACTCGGCATTTTACCTGCTCATAATCACTCAAACGATTTTTAATAATTGATCACCTTAGCAGGTCCTTAAATTGAAGTTTATATTACTCTGGAATATAAACACCTCTGAACGATTAACGACAGTTGAACAAGAATTCTAAACCTGAAGCTAACTGACCTTGTGACATTGAAATCGTGAAATGCATCGGCCAGTAAAATGTTAGAAGTGGAATACCGCATTTTATTTTTTCGTAGCGTCATTCGCTCTTTTTCAATTCTCTGTTAAAATATTTTTAATATATATATATATATATATATATATATATCATTGTCATGTGAATTTTGTAAAATTTCTGTGGCATTGAATAGTAATGCAGCGACTGAAGTGAGTGAGACGGTAATTGAGAAAAAAGAAACATCTAAAGGATAGGTGGTACAACACAGGAAAGTTCAACCTAAGACTTAAGGGCAAGTCAGAAATAAGGCGTTGCCACAGGCAACGCAACTGTGAAAAAAGTATAGAATTGAGATTAAGGGAAACTGCCTGCTGTGCTTATATCAAACTTATTCACCTTAAGAATTTGGAATAAAAGCTAATTGAAATTACTCATGAGAAAGGGAATTGTACTGCAGTGGCATTGTCCCATACGTAAAAGCAAGGAAACTAGCTTATCTGTGAAAATCGTGATGATGAGCACTTTTCTATCTTTAATTATAGTAACTAAAGTCATTCTTACCCTTGGTTGTATAATCAGACTTTTGCCAGTGGTAAAACGTTGAGGAAAATTTGCCACAAAATTTGGGAATTCCAAGGAAACCTTAGTGGGGCTTGGAGATCGTGTCTTGCTGTGAATAAGTAAACAACTTCAGGTTCATTTTTGACTTTTATTTACATATTCATTTACGTTTATTATTATTATTATTATTATTATTATTATTATTATTATTATTGTTATTATTTTGTTTTTCGAATGTCAACAAATCATAAAACACCTAGGAAACTTCTCATTACAAGTGTTCCTATTAAATATTTCTTCAACTCAAGGTTTCCCTGAGGGGACGAAAGACTAAGAGAGAATTTTCTTGCAATAAACGGCTATTAAGATATTTGGAAGATTTCCATTACAGACGAACAGTTGTCATTTTTAAAATGTATCTGCCAGTTTTCTGCCCCTGAACGCCGATGTTCAGAATTGTAAATAGTTTCTTTTTTTATTATTTTTGCTACAGGAGAGGCTATCTGATGAGCAAATTGAAGGTTAGTTTGTACAATGTAATATAAATAACAATTATTCCACGAGTGCGCTTTGGATATGAGATGGTAGTAGCCAACGAGGCGCGTAGCGCCAAGTTGGCTATTATTTAAGCAATAGACCACACTTTCTATGGGTTTACCGGCGTGATAACCCACGCGGGATGTTGGGAGAACACTCGAAAAGTTTGTAAATCACGAGCCGAAGGCTAGTGATTTTACAAGATTTTCGAGTGTTCTATCAACGTCCCAAGTGAGCTAGTGTGGTCTATTGCTTTTATAAAATAACTTTAGTTTTTTATGAGTTTGCCGGCACAATAAACCATAGGTTTTCAACCAATCAGAACGCGCGTACTATCTCAGTTAAGTTTATAAAATCTCATATCCAACATGCGCGAGTGGAATAATTGTTTTATTAAAAACGCCCGCAAAATATCGAGAATTCTTCCCGACTTTATTGGTAAAAGCAACCGATTTTCAGCTTGTTTTTAATTTTGAGCACACGCGTACAGAGAGATTTTATTTAACCCCTGAAACACAAGACGGTAGTAGAATAGTACGCGCAACTATGCACTAATTCCATTGTCTTTTTTTGTTTACTAGTAGCTAATTTGCACCAGTCGTTATTCTCTGTTTCACGGGTCAAGTAAAATCACTCTACCATATTTGGAGAGCAAGGTATAATGGCTCATATGCCGTGATGGCTAAGCCAATCACAGCGCTAAAATTGCATGATCCAGTGATTTAGTTTTTAATAAAATATAGTATACAATATCATATCATATCATATCATATAGTATAATATAATGTCTTACGTAATATCTTGCTAAATTGACTAATACAATGTAAATTTCACAAGAACCTGGAAAAATATAAGACGGTCAATCAACAGCGTTAATTTTATTTTTCTTTCAGAATATCGTGCTGCTTTCTACTTGTTCGATCGCGATAGCAATGGGTTCATTACAACAAAGGAACTGGGCTCCATTATGAGGACGTTAGGTTTTAACCCTAACGAAGAAGACCTACAACAGATGATTTTCATGGTCGATTACGATGGTAGGTATGATATCTTCGATTACTTGACAGGAAGTGAATAAACACTCTTGTTACAGTCTGTGCATACGTACAATCTGTTGATACCTTAGAGTAAGTTTAGACACGATACACATACGGCATTTTGTGGATATAAAAACCTTGAAAAAAGCTCCTTGTCTAATCACAGGAGACGGAAAACTAAATTTCGAAGAATACATCAATCTGATGGAGCAACAGAAGACGCCTGACGAAAGAGAAGAAGACATTACACAAGCTTTTCGAGTTTTTGATTCCGATAACAAAGGATACATAGAATCAGCTGATTTGAGAGAATTGTTGGAAAATATGGATTGGAAAGTTCGTGAAGAGGATTTGAAAGATTTGATAACAAGGGCTAACCTAGACCGAGACAGAAGAGTCAGCTTTGAAGGTAGGGTGAAAAGCGGAGAATGGCTGTTATCATTAGAAAGGTTATTGAGCTCATTACAGCTTGCACGAAATTTGACATACTTGTTGTGCACTAAATTAAATATTTTGGTAATGTTATACAGATAACTATTTTTTGGAATATTTGAGGTTTGTGTGGACGTTTTGAGGCCCGAGATAAGCATAAGCAAGTCTTGCATATATTGACTCGGTTTTTATATCGAAACGTAAAGCGGTATGACCTTGCTCGGTTAATTTTCAGGCTGCTTCCCTTTGTTAGTGTAACGTGTCTGTAATACCTTTTGTACCCATTTTGAACATTCTGTCTGGTAAAGGGTCCCACCTAGGAAGTCACATAAGTTATGGTGAATGGTCTCGATATAGAATTATACTATGGACTGCAAAGTAATGACTACTTTTCATGGTAACGCTTATCATTAAATCTGGAAGTGTAATGGTAGTTGAAGTTAGACTCATCTCTAAACTGCTTTTCGTTTATAGAGTTTGCAATGCTTGTGGATCCAGAAGGGCTGCCACCACCTCAGGATGATGATAATAACAATGAAGAAGATGATTTATAAAGTACATCAGTGAGAAGATATAAATATGCATGATATCGTCTTCAGTAACGTTACCTTGCTCATTAAATGATTCATCATCTTTGTTATCACAAAAGTTTTATAGACATCAGGTCATATAACAATATATCGAGAGAAAAAGCAGAAAGATTTACTACTTGATTTCATATTAATGTAAATACTTCGGCCTGGAATAACCAAGAGCAATTTTATAGAAAACATTGTAAATATATTTTTACTTTTTCTTGGGCAAAGAAGAGACAAGTTCACAGCTAGTGGAACATTTTTCAACGAAAAATTTTAGCAAATAATTGATCATAATTTCGATCAGTTTCATTCAGGCTAAAACGTGTAGCTGAATTAACTAACTCGTAACTTGGCAAAAATATCTAAGCCAGTGCAATTTTCTCTGCTGAGTTCAAAGGCCATTACCTATCTGCATGACATTATTTTGGCCATTGTTCATTTTTAGGAAAATTCCAGTTAATGTTAAATATTGGACAGGTACATTGCCGGTCAACATACCGATAATAACACACTGTATGAAAAAGCGCTGAATTCATAGTAAATTTAAATATGGTCCAGGGAATTCAACTCACTGCAAATTCAGTTGTCTCTGAGAACCATTTCAAGCCGTAATTTTTACATCCGTTAAGTCTTCTTTCGTACAAAGAAGAACATTTAAAATATACAACCCAGTCACTCGACCCAAGTTGAATAGAAATTGTCTAAGCTTGTGCTTTACCTGACACAAGGCAAAAACAACTAATTACTAAAATTTAATTATGTTTTAAGAGGTGAATTGTAAATTTCTAGTTAAAATGACTAAAAAAAGTTTTGCTTTCATTCCTATCGTTAATCTTCAATTCAAGTGAGAACATCTGATGCAGAATTCCAATATGCCCTTTTAATGACGTTTTTTAGGCGCTCAAAAATCTTATTATATGTCATTTCTTTTAATAATAATAATATTAATAATAAAAATAATAATAATAATAATAATAAAACACTTTATTTAAAGAGGGTAGCATGGAATAGCATGGAATAGTTACAAAAACTAGTAAACTTTTAGCAAGACTATTTCTAGGTTTATTTTGTCGAAAAAAAGAACAAAGAAAAAATCCTGACCCTAACCTTTGACAAAAAATATGGGTTATCCCCGGACGCAAATCCCCAAAATAGTGACTTTTCACAATCGATATCTCCATAGTCTAAAAAGCCTTTCTATTAAAATAGAACATCACCAAAAACTATTTCTAAGTTTATTTTTTCGAAAAATAAATTAAGAAAAAATTTCATATTTTTGAAAAAAATCATGGGTTAACCCCTTTGCAAAAAGCCCCAAAATGGCGAAATTTAAAACTCGAAATCTCTATAGTAAAAAAGGTCTTTTTATTAAACTATAATATCACCGGAAACTATTTTTATTTTCATTTTGTCGGGAAATTAAAAAAAAGAAAAAATTTCGTATTTTTGACAAAAATCATGGGTTAACCCCTTTACAAAAATACCCAAAATGGCGACTTTTGAAATTGGTATCTCTAAAGTTTAAAAAACCTTTTTATTAAACTAGAACATCACCAAAAACTTTTTCAAGGTTTATTTTGTAGAAAAATGAAGAAAGAAAAAAATTTCATCTTTTTGACAAAAATCATGGGGTAACCCCTTAACAAAAATCCAAAAATGGCGACTTTTAAAAACCGATATGTCTATAGTCAATAAAGCCTTTCTATTCAACTAGAATATCACCAGAGACTATTTCTATTTTCATTTTGTCGAGAAATAAGAAAATGAAAAAATCTCGCATTTTTAACAAAAAATCATAGGTTAACCCCATAACAAAAATGCCAAAAATGGCGAATTTTAAAATCGATATCTATAATGTCAAAAAAGCCGTTCTTTTAAACTAGAACATCACAAAAGGTGTTTCTAGGTTCATTTTCTCGAAAAAGGAAGAAAGAAAACTTTCATACTTTTGACTAAAATCATGGGTTAACCCCTTTACAAAAAGCCTGAAAATGGCAAATTTTAAAATGGATATGTCTATAGTAAAAAAGCGTTTGTATTAAACTAGAATATCACCAGAAACTATTTCTATTTTCATTTTGTCGAGAAATAAAAAAAAGAAAAAAATTCGTATTTTTGACAAAAATCATGGGTTAACCCCTTTACGAAGATCCCAAAAATGGCGACTTTTGAAATCGGTATCTCTAAAGTTAAGAAATCCTTTTTAAGAAAATAGAACATCACCGAAAACGGTTTCAAGGTTTATTTTGTCGAAAAATGAAGAAAGAAAAAATGTCATATTTTTGACAAAAATTATGGGTTAACCCCTTTACAAAAATGTCAAAAATGGCGACTTTTAAAATCGATATCATGGGTTAACCCGTTTAGAAAAATCCAAAAATGGCGACTTTTAAAAATCGATATGTCTATAGTCAATAAAGCCTTTCTATTCAACTACAATATCACCAGAAAGTATTTCTATTTTCATTTTGTCGAGAAATACAAAAAAGAAAAAATTCCGTATTTTTGACAAAAATCATGGGTTAACCCCTTTACGAAGATCTCAAAAATGACGTCTTTTGAAATCGGTATCTCTATAGTTTAGAAATCCCTTTTATTAAAATAGAACATCACTAAAACCTTTTTGAAGGTTTATTTTGTCGAAAAATGAAGCTTAAGAAAGAAAACGTTTCATATTGTTGACAAAAATCATAGGTTAACCCCTTTACAAAAATCCAAAAATGGCGACCTTTAAAAATCGATATGTCAATAAAGTCAATATAGTCGATATAGTCAATAAAGCCTTTCTATTCAACTAGAATATCACCAGAAACTATTTCTAGTTTCATTTTGTCGGAAAATATATAAAAAAGAGGAAAAATTTCGTATTTTTAACAAAAGTCATGAGTTAACCCCTTTACAAAAATGCCAAAAATGGCGACTTTTAAAATCGATGACTATAATGTCAAAAAAGTCTTTCTATTAAACTAGAACATAACCAAAAGGTGTTTCTAGGTTCATATTCTCGAAAAATGAAGGAAGAAAAAATGTCGTTTTTTTGACAAAAAATCATGGGTTAACCCCGTACAAAGATTTCAAAAATGGCGACTTTTGAAATCGGTATCTCTATAGTTTAGAAATCCTTTTAATTACCAAAAACTTTTTGAAGGTTTACTTTGTCGAAAAATGAAGAATGAAAAAATTTCATATTTTTGACAAAAATCATGAGTTAACCCCTTTACAACAATACCAAAATTGGCGACTTTTAAAATCGTTATCTATAATGTCAAAAAAGCCTTTCTATTAAACTAGAACATCACGAAAAAGAGTTTCGAGGTTCATTTTTTCGAAAAGTAAAGAAAGAAAAAATTTCATACTTTTGACAAAAATCATGGGTTAACCCCTTTAGAAAAATCCCCAAACTTGCGAATTTTAAAAATCGATATCTCTATAGTCAAAAAAGACTTTTTTCGGCAAAATAAACCGATAAATACTGTTTCGTGATGTTTTAGGTTAAAAGAAAAGCTTTTTGACTATAGAAATATCGATTTTTAAAAGTGACCATTTTTGGATTTTTTTTAAAGGGGTTAACACATAATTTTTGTCAAAAATGTGAAGTTTTCCTTTATTTATTTTTGGTAAAAAAACAAACCGAGAAAAAGTTTTTGCTGATGTTCTAGTTTAAAAAGGAGGCTTTTTAGACTATAGAGATAACGATATTTAAAAGTCAACATTTTTGTGATTTGCGTAAAGGGGTTAACCCATGATTTTTGTCAAAAATATAAAAGTTTTTCTTTCTTCATTTTTTGACAAAAATAGACCTTGAAAAAGTTTTTGGTGATTTTGTGGTTTAATAAAAAGTGTTTTTAGACTATAGAGATATCCTTCATTAAAAGTCGTCGTTTTTGTGGTTTACGCAAAGGAGTTAGCCAATGGTTTTTGTCAACAAAAAGAAGAAAAAAACTTCATATTGTTGACAAAAACCATGGGTTACCCCTTCACGAAAATCACAAAAATGGCGACTTTTAATAACCGATATCTCTATAGTCATTCTTTTGACCTAGAACATAACCAAACACTATTTCAAGGCTTATTTAGTCAAAAACGAAAAAACTTTGTTTCAAACATCATAAATCAACCTCATTACGAGGATCCGAAAACTAGTGACTCTTGAAATCAGTATCTCTAAAGATTAAAAAAACTTTTTTTTTAACTACAATTTCACCAAAAACGTTTTAAAAGTTTCATTTTGTTGCAAAATGAAGAAAGAAAAAATTCCATATTTTTGACAAAAACCATGGGCTAACACATGGTTTTGGTCCAAAAATGGCCATTTTTCCAACTTTTTTTTTTAGCCAACATAGAACGGGAAAAAGTCTTTTATGATATTCTAGAACGATAGAACACCTTTCTAGGCTATAAAAAGAAGAAGTCCAAAAAGTCAAAAAATTGCAAGTTTTTCAAAAGGGGTTAACCCATGGTTTTGGTTTAAAAATGGCCCTTTTAACAACTTTTTTTTTTAGACAATTTATGCAAGGAAAATGTCTTTTACGATATTATAGAACGATAAAACGCCTTTCTAGGCTATAAAAACAAGAAGTCAAAAAAAACGAAAAATTGCCATTTTTCCAAAGGGGTTAACCCATGGTTTTGGTCCAAAAATGGCCATTTTTCCAACTTTTTTTTTTTTGGCAATATAGGCCAGGAAAATGTCTTTTATGATATTCCAGCACGATAAAACGCCTTTTTTTAGGCTATAAAACCAACAATTCCAAAAAGTTGAAAAATTAATATTTTTCAAAAGGGGTTAACCCATGGTTTTGGTCCAAAAATGGCCATTTTTCCAACTTTTTTTTTTTAGGAAATAAAGGCCAGGAAAATGTCTTTAATGATATTCTACAACGATAAAACCCCTTTCTAGGCTATAAAAACAACAAGTCCAAAAAGTCGAAAAATTGACATTTTTCCAAAGGGGTTAACCCATGGTTTTAATACAAAAATGGCCATTTTTCCAACTTTTTTTTTTTAGGCAATATAGGCCAGGAAAATATCTTTTATGATATTCCAGAACAATAAAACGCCTTTCTAGGCTAACAACAAGTCCAAAAAGTCGAAAAATTGCCATTATTCCAAAGGGATTAACCCATGGTTTTGGTCCAAAAATGGCCATTTTTCCAACTTTTTTTTTTAGGCAATATAGGCCAGGAAAATGTCTCTTATGATATTCTAGAACGATAAAACGCCTTTCTAGGCTATAAAAACA